TGCCTTCCTTTGTGAAGCAGGAAAAAGACTAAAACAAAGTGAATCCAGTAGAACTTTTTTATTGCCTACCTGGAATGGGTGACAATAGTTAATAAACTTTTGGCTCTCAAAATGGTATTGGTGCCCTATTTGTTGGTACTCGCTGATACCAATACCACCATTTTAGTGCTGGATCGGGGTCCCGCCCGATACTGGTATAGGTATCGGTGCAACACTTGTTATTTCACCTTTCTGATTCCTGATCCTCCACAGACGGGTTGGTCGTTGGATTGCCAATTTGAAGAGGGAGGATTTGCTATCGAACTTCACCACAACACCAGATACAGCACTGGGACTTGATCAACAGCCGATACCGCACCGTGACGTCACTAACCAGTAGGTGGCAGTCAAGGGCGTAGGTTTGATTTCAACTTTGGTAGGGACGCTATTGGTCTGATGTCATTGGTCCTATGCAAAAATATGCATGCTGGTCTTTTTATGCTTGACGTGGAAATCCGGGTGTATTTTGTTTAAAGATAAAAGCACCATTTCTTGCTACATTTGTAAAAATGTTTATCAATGTTTGAAGCATCATCGGCTCTGATGAATGACGAATTATGACTTTTTTTCCACTTTGAAAAGGTTTGCATTTCAAATTACCAGCGACTCAGACAGAAAGTAAATCTGTGCCTATTTAACTAAATATAGTCTAAATATGTTTGTTATATGTGGAGTTATCCTGTTTTTTTCTTTTGAAGATATACAACTGTGCAGAGGTAAAACCCACTCTTATCTTTTAAATATTCTCTCTGTATCATGAAACAAAGCAAAATTATAGATTCAAGGGACACAAAATAAATGTATTGTATTTACATGAGCACTGGAACTGACACTGAGCATTTAGAATATTAATTTCACTCTACAAGTCATCTAGGCTGTAGTAACTCTATTTAACCCATATCATGTATTTTATCTTGGGCTGAAACAATTCATCGGAATAATCGATTATTAAAATGTTAACAAATTTAGTGATCGATTAATCCTTAACTGGAGTATAGAGACTCTAAAACATGTCTTTAGCTTACAGAGCGACCGACTTAGAGCAGGAATTATACCAAAATTGTAAAAAAAAAATATATATATATATAAACAAAAATGTTTTTATCTGTCAATATTCAACATAGTCAACATAATATATGTTGGTAAGGACAAGTAGGTCGGTCCAAAATGTTGGTAGGGACATGTCCCCATGGTCCCTATGCAAACCTACGCCCATGGTGGCAGTAATGTTCTTTGACAAACATGGATGCCTCCAGTAAAGCACATTCTGAATTAAGAACACTGATCATTTATTGAACACTAAGTAATAATTTCATATTTAAAGTACTTTTAGAAGTTTATGGAAGAATATTAAGGCCACTGAAAAAATAAAAGAAAGGTTAACTGATTTTTGAATATTATTTCAATTTAATATGAGAAAAAAGGTCGGAATTCGGACTTTAATCTCAGAATTGTGGATCTTAATGTAGATGGGCTCCATGAAGGCAGAGATGTGGAGATTACTGACAAAGATATGAGTTGTTTGGGAGGAACAGGAACACATTGATGGAAAATGACGGAATTAGTTGACTCTTTATGTGCCTGAAGGGTCCCCGGTGAGGCTATTTGATTAATGGAAGAGCAGAAGGTGTTTAAAACAAGAGAGATAGGATCTAAAACAGACATGGCTACAGCTTGATGCTAACATGTTTGTTAGCTGTCAGAATTCTGAGAT